ATTATTTTTCAATACCAAATCAGTTTTTATATAAAACGTATTGTGTTTGTCGAACAAAATCGACAAGCTATAATAAAGATAAGTCAATAATTAATGGTTTGACGTATCAAAGAGCAATAATATAAGCAATCCTACGAACGTTATCTATAATTACGTATTAGTAAAAATCACTTAGCTATCGTATATAATGCAGTTAAATAATTAGCCGTAATACGATTTCAAGCAAATAATAATTACAAAATATGCCGCAACTTTGTGAAACGAGGACTAATCGCTATTAATCCCGACATAGTGAATTATCATATTAATCGGAAGCAATATACGTAGGATAATATTGTTATTATGAAGCTATAACCTGGAATAACCTTTACGGCATTTAAACGAGTATCGATAAAAGCACGTTAAATGAAGCAAAGGAATTCGCTTTCGTCGACTAAATACTTATAAAGCATTAGAAAAATTGCATGCAATAAAAATAAAGTGCCCAGCAACGGTAAGGCTCTATGATCTCCAGAAATTCTTCGACTCGCCATACATTTATACTTTCACGCATAATCAGCGTTGCAATACTATCTCTTCAAGGAAAATATCTCGCACTTGAGTTACGCAGTGGTCGAGGCACGAGTAAGAAGTGCTCCTCAAGAGGCCCGATAACACGCTCCTCCACTAGGAACCAATAACCCGAATTGATTTATGCTCAGCTAGCGAGCCCAGCCCCGGTTCGCCTCGGCATCCCTCCTCACCACTCCCTCCACTCCATAACCTACCCAATTCCCCCGATAGTCCCCCGATGCTCCCGCAGCCAATCGCCATCGGCCCCACGCAAACGGCTGTTCTCGTTCTATTTTACGGAGGCGATTACTCGATTTCAAATTTCAATAGATCCGAGCCCGAATTACCGTTCCGCCGCGGCATTACCAAACTCGTGACTTCCGAGCCTCCGCATCCGTCGTAGATCGCTTGCACTGGCCGTTCCGCGAGCTCGCCTTTCCGATTCACCACTTTTGCTATTACGACACATTACGCCCGGCAAACTGCGCAGTTGGGCTTCGTTTCAACGATCCTCGGGGATTTAGCGGCACGTAGGTCGCACGAATGGCGTTGTTCAGCTGCTAGGGGGATGATAGGATACGGATTTAATGCCCGTGCTTCGTCGGTCTCTGCATACCAGAAATATTTTGTGTAGGTGCTTTGGGGGCGCGTGCGAGTAGTCTCGAAAACGAGCTCGAGTGTATGTTTCGAACGAGCGTGCGCAGATGTGCGCGATTTAACGATGGTAAGAAAATATTTACCGGGAAGTACAGGTGAATAATGGAAGGGCTCGTTAGATATGGAAAGCGCTCTGTTGCATTGACATTTCCATCAATTATAATAAAGAGACTAATAGTAGAATGATAGAGAGAGAGAGAGAGAGAGAGAGAGAGAGAGAGAAAGAGAGAGAGAGAGAGAGAGCTTAGTTTATTGTATCGATGATGGCCAAGAGCAAAGTACAAAGCTCGGATAATATTGGTTTTCATTTTGGTCTTAATCAGTTTCGTTATACACTGATAATTTATTTATCATGTGTAAATTGCAAGCTTTGGACAGTCAGCGCTAAGGATGTTAGTAATAACTACTCAGGTAAATAGTATCTATTTCGAGAAAAGTGGTACTACAATAATACGATTATTCGAAAATAATAATTGTGAATGTCGGATAAGGTTAATTATATTTCGTATAAAGACATTATTAAAAAAAAGGTCGAACATTTCTTTAATTATTTGAAAATTGTGTACTTTTATTGTTTGAAAAAAAAAATATATATATATATATACTTTTACTGCTTCAATTAATTAAAAATTCAAGTATGCTGTTTGTACATTCTCTCATTTGTAAATTCTTTCATTTTCATAATTGAGAACTTTATACGATTTAAATACTCAAATTACTTTAATTAAAACGCATGCGGAAGGTTATTATTTCAGCGGAATATTAATTATTTATTATTAATGTATAAAAATTAATAGTTATAATTTGTATTAAATTAAAATGTTTAATTACTCATTACTCGGTTATATTTAAGAAAGAAAGAAAGAGAGAAAGAAAGAAAGAAAGAAGAAGAAAGAAGTCTCATTACTATCTATTGAAAAATTCTACATAGACTTAATTATTAACCATTGAATATTAATTCTAATATTATATTAACAATAAGTTTGTATTTTACAGTCAAATTCGAAAATATATTCTAAAGCTACTCTATTAATTTTGTAAAAGGTAACAACAATATACTTTAAGAGTTGTCTACAGTATCTTCTAATTTAAGAAAACCGTCGATTTATCTTTGGAAAATGTGAATATTCAAAGTAGATTTTTCTGTCATTCCAGATTATACTAGAAAACGTAATAATTCTGTAAAAAAAATTTTTTTAATCATCATCCACGTAAGAAATTGATGCCCATTACGAATAAATTTATGAATAAAAGCGTAAATTTCTTGGAATGAACAATTATATAAAATAAAGCATAACACTTTTTCCGTTTTTTTTATCGAAATGTTAGTGTTGTATATGTTTTTTTCCCCAATCATGTTCATTCTCATAGTTATATTATTAGTATTAAGCTCGTATAAGTATTATTTTAGCGTTAATTTTTGTAGTATTGCAAATTTATTGTATAATATGTAAGGTTACGCACTTTTTATAAATTTTTCGCGTTAGCTTATAAAATGCATTGTCATTTAAATCACGCAAAGAGTTTTACTTGGACGAAAAGCTCGACTCGGGTCACTAAACGGAAGTGTTAGTAAAAACATCGATAAATACTAGTTTGATCCTAAACATATGTAAGCTTCAAGGTACTTCTTTTGAGTGAACATTAATCAACTCTCTGTAACATCTTCGTTAAAAAAGATGAATTTATTTTTAAATTAAATTAGAGCTCGCTTTTTAAGTAATATATAGGTATTTTATAATAATTAATTGATAATTCTTTTATTGATGAAGTACAAAATTTTTTAGAGTGAATAATTCTAGCTTACAATGAGTTTGCATTAATGAAGAGAGTAGATGGAACATAAGTGTGCCTGCACTTAAAATCAAAGTATTTCTCAGCATGCACACGCATCAGCGTTTCGTGAACACACACGCGCGCGCGCGAGCGCTTACATATGTATATGTAACATTGATGTTTCGTATAAGTAGATAGACGTTCGGTCGTTGAGTCGTATCCTAATTCTCTCACTGCCAAGAAAAAGATATTTCGAAGAGTTGCGGCAACTGGATCATTATCTCGAATGAAGAGAGAAAAAAATGAATGACAGATAAGAGAGGCTAGGCTAACGAGCAACTCAGCTGCCCTCGGTCGCGATTGTCGTCAGATATGGAACGCTTGTTGCTGTCGAAGAGGCCCTCAGGAGCCGTTTTCACGTTTGTGCGTCGTGAGAGAATATCGATTTTAAATACGAGAGAGAGAGAGAGATAGATAGATAGATAGATAGATAGATAGAGAGAGAGAGAGAGAGAGAGAGAGAGAGAGAGAGAGAGAGTGAGTGAGTGAGAGTGAGTGAGAGCTGTCAAACGACAGACCCTCGGCGTATATTCTTGCCACTGTATCCATTTGTCTGACACGAAAGGTCAATGGGACTTCACTTATATACGATGCACATCCAATTCAAAATTACCGATTAATCGATAAAGTTGTCGTATAATCTTTTTAGTGATAATAATAATCAAAATTAGGAGTACATTGAAAAGATCAGATATTTCAGGTTGAAATGTTTGAAGCCTCGCTTAAATATTATTTTCAATTAAAGAAAAATATATATATGGTTCACTTTTTTCATATTTCTTAGACAGTTTTTCAGTAAGCAGTTACTTTACACTTAAAACAATACTTGATGGACAAATTTTTCTAACATTGTATTAGCATTAATAATAAATATTTTATTTTAAAAATTATAAGAAACATAATTGTTAAGTACGTCACTTCTCGTAAAAACGATGAATTAAAATATACAAATAAAAAATTAAATTTGTACATTATTCTAATTTCAGATGATTGTCAATATACAGGATAACTTAAATAGTACATTTTAATCTGAATTATTATTCTATTTGTCGTAATCGTGGTTTGTTCGTAATTTTAGTTGTCATAATTGAAAATTTGTCGGTGAAAGTATATTTCTATCAGCACTGAATTAAATACGTCTATTAATACCATCTAATGTAAAGTATAAAAATATCTGTTTCAAAAAGTTTTTTAAATTTAATAAATAATTTTAGTTTTATTAAAAAAAAAAAAGAAAAAAATGATAAAAATAGTATCTCCATAGTAATGTATTTTACCATACTACACCCATTTCATATATGCGTGAAATATATTTGATAAACCTTTTTCAATATTCATGATTGTTTTAGCATTCAATTATTATTATTATTATTACTATTATTATTATTATTATTATTATTATTAATCTATTTCATAATGACAAATGTAAATTCAATAAATATTATTAACGAAGGACAATCGAATGTATTGAAATAAAAGAATTTTTTCCTATATTATTAAATCATATATTATTAAATTCTACTCTAAATAGTTTAAATAGACATATATATAAATAATTTGCCTTATTTATTAGTTCTAAATATAAAATATAAGATTATTACAAAGCCAAAAAAGCGTATTAATCATTCATCCTATAATATTTCTTTTTTCTTGGCATTATTTGTCACAGTTTATTATTTTAGTTTTAGTATAGACATATTATATATATATATAATACTTATATCCTTTTTTATTATTATCGATTCAGAATTATCTCATCTCATTTTTCAATTTTCTAATATAACAATTACTCTATGCGTAAGCCACGAGATTCGTTATTAATCACTTTTTTTTTTTGCCTACAAAATTATTGAATTAAAAAATAGATTTTCTTAGCATAATTTGAGAAATTGCGGAGAAATGTAGAAAAGCATGTGAATTTTCTTAATATATATTTGATGTGAAATTAGACTAACCGCCATTTCCGAGCAGGGGTGGTCAATAAAAGTTAATTCGGATTCTTCTCCGGTAAGCAGCACACTCACTGTTTTCTCTCCGGACTCGTCATCTGAAAGAAATATCGATACTTGTTAATGCTATTCCTTACTTTCTTATTATTACCTAGAATTCAAATAACTAAGTATGATAATATTATTTATTATATTATTGTTATTATTAAAGTGTGTATGTGGAAAAGTTTCGGAGTTTGTGTTTGCGTTGCGAAAATTACGGCGATCTTTTCAATTAAATCGTTGACATTTGCTTGTTTTAAATTCAAGTGTCAGTATAATGGTAATAGATAAAAGAGAAAGAGAAATTGCCTCTGGAATATTGATGATACGAAGACTCATTGGTTTTATTCTTAATATTCCTCGCTTGTCTTTTAAACATCACTATGATTTAAATTTTAATTCGTTGCAATCATCAAATTGCAATCAACGTTCGTCAAAATTTAATGTAATGAGTAAATATTAATCTTTTGAATTCTAGTCGAAATTAAAATGAATTCATAAATACATTCTGTATAAGGCTTGATGCGATGTTGACAAATGAAGTTAAATGGAAATGATATTTTATTTATTTACATTTATTTCACGTACATTTAGATATTGACAAATTTTTTTTTTATTATATTTTACACATGAAGTTATTGGGGTGGCTTAATGCTACAGAAAAATTAATTACAACATTCGCTTTAAGTAGCACAATGAAATGGTCCACGCAATCCAATTTACAATCATTTTATATTAAATTTACGACAGCTTAATTATTGGATACAAAAAATTGAGACCTTTTATATGATTTATACGATCGTTAATTTGCGTGGTAATAAATACAAAGGAAAATACAAAGGCAAGTAGTTATTTACTTTTAATTTTGCAGATGCAAAGAGCAATAAAAAACACGTATTTATTAAAAAGAAGAAAAAAAAAAGGGAAAGAAAAATTATTTATTCATTCGCATGTAGATTATATGTAGGACCAATAGAATACTAATATTACTTTACATTTAGAAATCCGTATGAAGTAATTAGAATTATTACTATTAACGTTAATCATTACTTATATAAATACCATACGCAAATAGAGAATAGTAAAAATGATTTGATATAGATTAATTGATTGACCTTAGTAATTAGTACTCGTTTGTAAAATATATTTAGAAATGTTTGTAGTCAAGTGAAAATACAATCACTTAAATATGAAAATGCGCATTATTTAAATTAATATATTAAATATAAATTAATAGATTAATATGAATAATATATTAATTTGTTGATAAACCTAAACATCTGTCTCATATTCTATTAAATCGTGTTAATTATGTTTTGTATTTATTTTCTTTATCTACATCCTCCTATATTAATAATTAATTTTATCGAAATAACTAATGTAATATATAATTTGAAACTTTAGACAACTTTATTTTCAAAATGGAATTATAATAAATTTACTTTAAATAAATAGGTCGTTGTAATTAATGATATAGTTAACTAATTGAACTTAATTTTATGAGAAATTTTATACGAAACAAAGTGTGTAAACATTGTGTCAATTTTTCTTTTCAATTTATTAATCAATAAATTCAGATAGATCGAAGAAAAAAGTCTTATTTAGAAGATGTTGACTGGGAAATCTTTTTCTATTTTAGTTTGCGACTAAAGCCTTTTTGGCTTAATAAACATATTTACTATTTATATCACTACATAATTAAAAACTCGTAAAACAATTCCGTTTTGTATAAAAAAATCTTTATTTTTATTCTTGTTGCAATAATACTGAGCAAAATGTCAGATTGATAATATTTTTTAACAAAAGTGTGAGTTCAAATAGGATTGTCGTCTGCATTTTATATTAGAAATTTATGAATTATAAAACTCTTTCATTTCAAAATGACGACTATAAAAACTTTATTATTCTATTTAAACATTTATGTGCGTAATTAGTAACTTTTATCAATGAATTACAATGTTCTTTATAAAATCTAATAGAATCTTGAATATTTGGTAATATCGTGCGACTCATTGAAAATAATATCTTTTAGTAACAGCAATGACTTCCTATCTTTGTAAAAGTATCTTTATTAATGGTCTAATTCATTTATGGTCTTAAAATATTCATCTTCAAGTAACACTTATTTCCTTTATATTTCAACAAATATGCTTTTTGGATATGCATTGATTTAATCTCTAAAGGTTTGTATTTTTAATGTAGTTACTTTAAGCAAAAGCTTTGGATTGAATCTTTGCTTCTATTTTTCCCTTTCATTTTTCCAATACTTATATTTGACTTTGTATGTTTATGTTGGAGTTCAAATAATTTGAAATACGTCTTAAATTGCATTCCGAGTCTTGATATTAATATCCGTTGAAGTCACAGAAAATAATTTAAAATCATGAAAAATTAAAATTTTTTGTTTTAGTCACGTTATATTTGAATCTGTTTATTTGAGAACCTTTTACAAAATTAAATAATCTCTACGCAACATTTTAAATTATATTTCATTCTTTTTAAGAGCTAATCGAGTGAGCTATATATTATTTCTTATAAATTAATGAAATCAAAAGTAGTGTGAAAGAAATGAAGGATGAAAAAAAGGAATGAAAAGAGTAGAAAAGATTTAAGTTATTCGTTAATGCTCAATGCTAAGGATAATCAGGCCTGATAAAGCTAAGTTTAGATAATTGGAAATTTCTGCATGACTATCGATGTAAGCTACTCCGTTACAAATAACTGCTTTGCAGACATCTTAACTGCTTTACGTATTCCTAATTAGAATTACAAATCGATTATAATACTATTTTGAGCTATATTAGGTTTCGCTCAGAAATAAAATTAATTCGGGAGGTTTTTATGGAGACGCATTGTTGTCTTTGCTATGCTAAGGTAGATGAGAAATATTTATTCTATAAATTCTTTTCATCAATTTGACCTCTTTCCCATTAAATATCGTGAGCAGATGTATAAAATATAGTTTTTGAGAATTACTAAATACATTGACTATAATAACAATACATAATTATAATAATTATTAAGACAATGGGAAATCAGAATAGCGTTGATGTTATTAAAATTTTTATAAATTATGTTGTAAATTTTTAAGCACAGAAAATATATTATTAATTTGAATACTCTGAAAATAATTTCTCTACACATTGCAATTATACTAACACAATATTCAATAGAATAAAGTTACTGAAATCTCTTTGCAATGATTTTTTCGATACAATACTTGTACCAGCAGGCGCGCTTTTATCGGATTTTATTGTTAAAAATAAAAAAGTTAACATTATTGTACGAAATACAGTGATAATAATACTAAAACTCTAACGTGTCTTGTCCGTAACATAAAAGAGTATAAAAGAACATTGTAAAAGATGTTTTTCAGTTATTATATTTTTGTAAAATTTTCAGAAAAAATAAAATATTATATGAAAATGGAGCATCTTCGTTTGATAATAACTTCCAATCGATGTATTAATAAATTTTTTAATTTAACTCTTAAGCTTATGAATGACAAAGTAATTAGTGTTTCACGAAATCCATCAACACAATTTAAATTAATTATAAAATGATATATTTTTTATTTAAATTCTACTCAATTTATGTACGCATTGAAGATTGAAAAGCAATGGGAATAATTTATTTTTAAACTGAAAGCTCCTGAAATTAATATGATAATAATTTTGCTTGAAGCATAGCGTACAGCATGTAGACATTTTATGGAAACATCGAACATACAAATGCTTTTGTAAAGAACTATATGCTTTTTCCGTTGTTTTAAATTTAGCGAATTTTTTAAAATAATATTGAGAAAAAATATTGTAATTATTTCTATATGAACGATTCGTGCATTATAACATTAATTTTTTTTATCGGATAATTTATGTAACGAGTTGTAAATTATATAGTGAAATTACATGCATTATTTGCATCCATTTTTTTTTCTTTTACCGTAAATTTAGATAATAATGAATGAAAAAGCTAAAAAGCTTCTAATAAAATTCCTTAATATTCTCAACATCATACTGTAATACTAACGTAAGAGTATTAATGAAAAAAAAAAAAAATAAATAAATAAATAAATAAATAAAAATATATACCTAATTGTACAGATAAATTAAAATCAAGATAACCTTGCGAGAGCAATAATATTTAACATTAATCTCAGTCTAATATATCGCTGAAATTTCAGTATGACAAATTTCTTGTCTATTTTGTCGATAATATTCCATGTCTCAAAGGAGTTATGAATATTAACTCCCTTTATGAAATTGAGCATGCATTATCGCAATTGCTCTCTTGCTAAATAGTGGAGAAAACGTAAAGTAGGACAAATCATTTGGATGACTGTTTTGAATAGGGAATAAAATATCGATGTAATATGATTTGTTAGGCTTTAACGGTTAAATTAACGCGTAACATCGATTGTACCTATAACGCTACGCATAAGCAGTTAGTTTATTTTTGACGTATCTTCCCTCTTAGAAATACACGAACTACCTCCGGTGATAAATCATTAAAGGCATCTCCTTCTACGCGCTACTGTCTTACGCCTGCGCCAAGTACACGCACACGCACGCACACACGTACGCAGAGCAGCGCATAAAGGGATTACGTGATTTAGTAGAAAATTCGTCTCGATCGCTTCAACTGTCACGAAATCTCGAGCGCTCAAATTTTACAACGAGATTCCTGGATATGCGGCAATTTGATTGGCAATAAAACCTTTTTCTATACCGGCCTAAGTAATGTCCTTCCTCCTTCCAACATAAATGCTCTTCTTCGAGTTACGTACATATAGTCACTATCATATAGTGCAGCTCCCGTATGAGCTTCCTGCTTCAATCTTTTTTCAACAAAGCGAGGACTTTATTGCTACCTTGCAAAAAAAAAAAAAAAAAAAAAAAAAAAAAAAAAAAAAATACTAAAACTATTGTCAAATGTATTCGTGCAAAAAATGAATTTTAATTACAAAATTTGAAACAATTAAAAATCTTTCATAAGGTATGAATGCATTTATATTTACTAGGAGCTCGAAATTAAATTTAAAAAGTGAACATTAAAG